ATTAAAGGGGTCATATGATGCGATTTCAAGTTTTCCTTTCTCTTTGGAGTGTTACAAGCTGTTTGTGAATAGATACGATCCCTGAAGTTGCAAAGACTAAAGTCTCAAAACCAAAGAGATATTCTTTATCAAAGTTAAGAGTCAACCATACCTACCTAAAACGGCTCGTTCTAACACACCCCCACATGTCTATGTCGCAATGTGGGAAGATTTGCATAACGCCGCCCAAATGTTCACGCAAAGAAAGAAGGCGTAACTTTATTGTTGCCGCCTCCGCCATGTTGTGAAGACGCTGTGTATTTCGTTGCGAAAGCGAAAATACTTTGTTTGGCCAAATATTCAGATGTGTGCAGCGCATTTTATGGAGGACTGTTTAGACTACAATACCGGCTGTTCTGACTCAGTCTGTAAGTACGTTTTCATATTTAAAGAAGTTTTGTGCAGTGTAGAGTAGCGCTTGTTGTTTGTAATTTCTCCGGTCACAAATGCAGACATGGTTTGTATGTTTACGCGGCGCGGTGCAATGCATAAAAAGACAGTATAAGTCATTATAATCCGTAATTATGTCCCCACTGGATGCAACAAATGCCTTGTTTGTAATGGGTTTTAATGTTTTTGTCTCGTCGCTCCGGATCACGGCATCACAGTATGGTAAGGAGTGTAACATTTCTGTCACACGCTTGAGGTATTCGGCCAATCACAACGCACTGGATAGCTGGCCAATCAGAGCACACCTCGCTTTTCAGACCGATGAGCTTTGTAAAAATCAACGCGTTTCAGAAAGGCGGGGCATAGGGGAGAAACAATAATGTACAGTATGTGGAAAATAATGTTTTTTTAAAACCTTAAACCGCATAAACACATTTCATTACACCAAATACACAAAATAATGTTCTTTTTAGCAACATCATATGACCCCTTTAAGCTGTGATGTGTAATGAGGTTGTGTGGAGGTGAGAGTTGCCGGTTTGCCAGTTGTGTTTGCTGTGGGGACTAAAAGCGCCTTGTTTAAAAAGCAATGACCCCAGTGACCCCCGCAGAGCTGAAATAATGCTGAGTGCTGTGCTAGGCACTATCTCATTAGAATGTCCAGTGTAATTACTCCTCGAAATCGGACAAAATTAGTTTCTAAACTAGGTTTACCTTTGTAATGGTGATGTTTGAATTTTTCACAATCTTAAAATTTATTTATATTTTTTATTAATACCTTAAAGGGATAGTTCACCAAAAAATTAAAATTACCCCTGATTTACTCAAGCCATCCTAGGTTTATCCAAGCCATCCTTTCTTTCTTTCAGATGAATACAATCTGAGTTATATTAAAGGCTATTATGCTTTTTCACTTTTTGAATTTTAGTCAGTGAGATACTTAGAGCCGTTTGTTGTAGTTCTTGAAAAGGGATTTTTTTTAAACGAAATATCTCCCTTTGGAGTGGACTTTGAGGTTTGTCACTTTGAAGATCTTTTTTTTTATGCCCAAACATACACACTACACACTGACTAAAATTCAAAAAGTGGACTTGGACTACAGCGTTGTTTCTCCGGGTTTTGTGATGTCACAAAACATCACAAAAGTGGGTTTTGTGTAATCCCATTTAGGCTATCTGTAATCAGATGCACATTTAAAACTGGAATATAATTTAATTTCAGTCACTTACATGTGTTTCATAAAAGCATAATCCATTCTGGATTATCATCAAAATGATAAATTTAAGGGGGGGGGGGGGGTGTTTATGGGGTGCAGTCTAACATGTGTTAATGCTTCATTTAAAAAAAAAAAAGCATTATTTTTCACATAATTTACCTTTATTCTACACCGCCCTGTCCCTTCATCTAAAAGTCACGCCCCTCACCTCAGTGGTATGTGCTCCGGTTTTATTGTAAACATTGACGTCGTTAATATTGCTTATCAATTTGAACCCGATTGAGATGCAGAGGATAAGCTTTAATAAACAAACTTGTTGAAAGAAAGCATGCAACTGTATTCATTTACTCACCCTGTTTCAGACCTCTATGACTTAATTTCTTCCATCAAGCTAAAATAAACATTTTATAATTAGTATAATGATAATAATAAATTATTATTATTTTAGTAGATTATCAAGGCTTTTCACCATACAATGAAAGTGAATGACTCCAAAAATTCATTCAAATCCTTTATATAGAACACAAGCCATAAACTAATTTTATGATTCTTTTAATTATTTTTATTTTTATACCTTGACTGGCCTTAGTATACATTCACTTTCACTGTATGGGGAGAAAGAGCAGCCATGGGTTTAGGAAGACATGAGAGGTTAAATAACTGAATTCTCATTTTAGAGTGAAATATTCCTTTAAATTAGGACCAAAAAATCAGACTTGGAAATGGAAAGCCCCCCCGATTATTTAAGTTTTGGGTCACACAGAACTTGTGTTCTCTTCCATTGTGCTTTCTGATGGAGAGGAATGGAGTGCTTTGACCCAAATACGCTGGGAGTTGCTAATGAACCCAACACCACAATTCAATTTGGGTCAATTAATTTGGTGCCAGAATTGTCTGATGATTAGTTACTAGATGGAGGGTTAAAGGAGAAATCTATAAGGGAAAACTCCACTGACAGCCTTTCACAGAGCTCCACGTGACCTGTTGTTGTCAAAAGTTCCTGTCCACAGCCACCCTTAGGCTCATTGGATGAGTGCCTAATTTTCTCAGCTCTTCTTAACCAATCAGACGGGTCCCTGAGGAATAGTGACGTAATGCTCTCTGTGCAGTCTCTGGCAGCCTGCCAACAGGCGGTGAATTGTTGTGTTGGAGGCATCTGATTGGTCGGTCTGAGCTGGAACTGTGCCAGTTATTGACAAGGGAGTGAAAACAATAACAGCTCAAACGAGAATGAGGAACATTGCATGTAATTTAAGGTGGAGACTGTTAAGGTGGAGCAGACATTGTGTGAGTTATTGTAACTTGAGGCATTGCAGACATTAAAAGTGACTGACACAGATTCTCTTTTTCAAAACTTGTTAACTTTATTTTGATAGTCTGCTTCAGACATTCTACTAACTTGAGTAACATTTTTACTTGCAATGTTACTTGAGCAACATTGCAAATTCTGCTAATTTTGCAACTTATGCCGAGTTCACACAGCATGATTTTCAAAGTCATAGGATCACAGTT